AAAAAAAAACCCGACGTCAGCAAGCGGGCTAATGACCTCAACAATGACCACACTTCTGCCGTTTTTGGTATCCGAGAACAGAACAATAGATCACAGGCAGTGAAAGAGATTAATAAGAATAAGAATATAATTGCATTTATATAGCGCATACCCATGCTCAAGAGCTTGCTCTATGCGCTTTACAACTATTATTGCCCCAGCAGACCCTCTGAGGAGAGCACTCAGAAACATTCTCGGCTTCCGCGGAAGTATACAGTGCAAGCTGCGGATTTCACGCCCCCAAACACTCAAACTGACAAGATCGTTCATTGTCTGTAGCCGGGTACCCATTTCCACCTGGGTGAAGTGAGGAAAATTTGAGCAAAGTGTCTTTCCCAAGGACACAACGTCGGGCCCCTGACGGGATTCGAACCCACGACCTTACGGTTGCGAGTCCGAGAGCCTAACCACTAGGCCACCAACGCCGAGGCCATACTCAAGATAAAAGGAGGACTCTGCAGAAAGCAACACATGGACGGACACGTGTTACTAAAAATAAAAACTGAATAAAATGAAGAACAGTGATCGTTATCCTTCAGCTCGCTGATTCCAGCATTGACTTGCACGCTCGCATTGACCCCATCTGTCTGAAAGCTTGCAAGCACAAAGTAGGTAGCCACGTGTTTCAATTTTCTCTTAAACAATGGGGTACCCATTTCTCATACATTTTAGCTAAGTTATTTGATGGGCTAATATATTGGGCTACTCCACTTTCTCTCACAATGTTTTTATTTTTTTTAAATTTTTATATGTGCAAGCTTTGTCTGCAGTGTCAAGGAAGAGTTAGATTACTCACCGATTTTTATTTTTTTTTTAAAGACCCATTTGAATAAGCAGGAAGAATTGGATGCAACCGAAAGGGTATTAAAATCATATTACGATAATACAACAATCACGCCTCGTTTACATTAAATTATAATATTGATTTGATCTCCTTATATTATATTATTATGCTCTTCGACTTCCCATAACCGTCAGATTTCTGTTGTCACAGGAAATTCGTTTGAAAGTTGTGCCAACCGTGATGTCAAACAGTATAGTATATTATATTACAAGCCTATAATAAAACATTACCTTAATTCATCAACGAACAATGACTGGAGGAAGTAGCCTATGGACAAGAGGTGTTGTGGTAAGGCGGGTCTACCGGAGGGTCATTGGCGCCCCTTTTGTTTTGACCTACATAATGTGTTCTGAAAAGCTGAAAGCATTTTTATTTCTTTGTCTTTTTTTATAAAATATTTTTTTTGACAAACTTGAGTGGTCGGTCGTTACACTTTCCGTATTATCCATTACATTTTTTGCATGCCTACTTGTAACAGCCAACACATTGTTATGTTTTTACTATACAACAGGTGATAGCAATTTATTAGCTGCTTTTTGTTTTTGGCTACATCCTACACAAACCAAATTTTTTAAAATAAAAAGCTGAAAAGAATGTTTCTTCTTTGTCCT